GGCAATAGTAATAATAATAGGCGAAGTAGTATATACCTCGGGCGAGAAACCGGGGCTCGCGCGCTAGAAGGCCTAAAGACTGGAAAGCTGGAAACCTGGAGACCTGGAGACCTGGAGGCCGGGAAACATGAAGACCTGAGCTGAGGACCTGGAGACTCTGCCTGGAGATGCGACCGATGGGCCGAAAATAGAGTCGGCGGTAGTGGATTGGAACCTGGGATGACGAGGGATAATGGGATTCTTTCGAGATGCAGAATTAAAGACACATGCACCAATGCAAGTGACGACGATGCGCGATGCGCGATGCGCTCAATATAGCAGCAGCAGCAGCTCTGGACTGGAAGTACCGATAGCAGATACCTGTGGCAGTACCTCTAGCAGTACCTCTAGCAGTATGTAGGTACCTCTAGCAGACAGCAGTTGACCGTAAGACTGGGATTATACAATACCTACCTACTAGTAGTAGTACATACCGACTAAGACCTGGTAACCTGCACACGCCGGATTCTGCCACTTCCAACTAGCTGTGAATCTATATACTAGGCCCACGGGTTCATGGTATGATATATAATCTTGAATGATATAAAGCAATGCTCAAGCCAGGCACGTAGGCATTCCCGAGGTCTTCTTCTATTCTCTGTACCGTAGACAATAGGTAGACTACATGCAGAATGTAGACACTAACTTGGGGAGGTATGTAGGAAGCCACTGGTAAGTCTTGGTGATGCACGATATCCACTTGGTGCACTCCCTGAGAGAGAATAGGTACATGTATGTAGGTAGGTAGGCAGGTATGTAGGCAGGTATGTAGGCAGGTATGTAGGCAGGTATGTAGGTACAAGGTTGGCCTGAATGCAGGCAGCTGGAGGTAGTATGCAGGTACTTAGCCCGAGATACTGGAGATCTCCAGGTGTCCGAAAAGAGGAATTCAATTAAAGATTTGCCAATTGGGGAGCTAGGAATTGAAAGTTAATAGAGGGGAGGGGAGGGGAGGGGAGGACGGGACGTGTCAGTTTCGCGTGAGTCGTGTTCAAGTCGCGACGAGAAGGGATGAGACCGTGCAGCTTGAGCGTGGCTGGCAGCTCGAGCGCGGCAGCGTGGTAAAGTGGCCGACCGTGGCCGACCGTGTCAAAAAGTTCAGGGCGGCAGAGGGTGGTCATCAGTACTGACTGTACTGTGGTCAGTGGTCATGGCTTTAAGCGCCTAGGGCCTGGCGGCTGGCGCCTACGAAGCATGACTACGCGAGATTGGTACATACAACCCCGAGATTGCTACAACGCGATCATGGATTGGGTCTGACAGAGCAGCCAGAACACTCTGGAGGGCTCAGAGGCACTCAGAGAGGTACATGGCTTGTTCATACAAGAGCGGGGTTATGGTACCTACATACGTGCACAAAGGTAAGCTGAGGGAACCTTGGAAGCTCCCGTCCTCGCTTGCATTATTTGCATAAATCATGTGGGTATAAGAGGGCACAAGCAAGACAATTTCATTGGCCCATCGGCAGTTGCCTCGTAGCTCAGTCACCGACGGGAGTACTACCTGTATGTATGAGAATTTCACGCTTATGTAAGTTCTCAAACTTCGCATAGTTCCAGGTTAGAACTGGTAGCCCTCCCTATCTTATCATGATGAAGATACGATAATGGTCCCTGATACTGTGATGATACTCGACCATAATGACACTCGTCCATGATGACACTCTTCCATGAATGAGTCCGCCTGTTATAGCTAATGCCCATATGCCCATATGCCCATATGCCCATATGCCCATATGCCCATATGCCCATATGCCCATACCCAAATCCATATCTATACTCCTCCATTACTACGTATATCTATGCTAGACGGAGGGATCAATCCATTGCCATCTAATCTAGCACTATCGCACTATTTTCAAGAGTTCAAGCCTGCGAACACCGGTGGCTGCGTTCAAGATGGAATGAATTTCTGCCTATTATTAAATTAAATCCTACGACAAGCAACGGGGTCCTCAACACCAACATGCAACATGACTCTCATAATCCCCCATCCAAATACCGCTCTCCATCTATACCGACATCTGCTCCGCGAGGCATCGTATCTACCTCCACTATGCCGACCATGGATCAGCTCACGCATCAAGGCCCGTTACCGCGACTGTCGATATAAAAACGATGCAAAAGTATATTATATCAAGGAAGCACATCATCATCTGCGATACTTACGCTCTGCCAACAGCGGCGATGTCGTCCGTATATCGCACTTATGCTTTCTCGCAATGGGGAGAGTTGGAAAAAGACGCCGACAACTCGCGAATTTGTTTCTAACCAAAGACGCCCCCAAGGATACGACTGACCTGGAGAACGACAATCCCTTTGCCGATATTCAAAACAATACGACTTCGAATACGTCACCTACTGCGAATGCCACTACCCCTTCCACTTCGACCTCCCTTTCCACTTCCACTACGTCGCCCATCTCTCCCTCAACGGCCGATCCAGACAAGAAAAGGAAATCAACCGCCCAATCAGATCCATGGGCCTCACATAATACAGAAGACAACCGAGAGCCTGACTGGTTGGACAACTGGTCCACCGAAAAGCTGCTGGCTATGGCCCATTCCCAGATTGCCAACCAAGGCGGGAACTGGCCTCATACGATGCGTCGGCTCATTGACCCTAGGCGAGCAATTCCGAAGGAGAACAGCTTCGGGCGACCACTCACCAAGAAACTAGTAAGGAACAAGCTTAAACGTCATTATAGCTCTATCCTTCGCCAGTTGATGCCCCCGCTCCCACAGGGTGAATGGGATCGACTGAAAGACCTCGCCAACGGCCGAGCAAGTGGGCCTTACGACATGAAGATGCCGCCGAGGAGACCGGTCGCGCAACCGGTATTCCTCACGAAGAACGATAGTTATAAACTCTTTAAATATTCCGGCCAGCCTGAGGAAGAGAGTTGGGTGAAATATGCGTTGAAGCCCGTGCGCCAGATCGAGAGGGGGAACTCTCGCACGATGAAGAGCCTGACGGGCGAGCTAGATCGAGATCCCCGTGGGCAGGGTCGGCCGATTGGCGCCCGGCGGACCCTTGGGGCTAGGAAGCTGCGACGCGGGATCTACGGCCATCTATTCGAGATGTGTTCCACCATGACCCAAAATCCACGGACGGGGAAGTGGAATGTAACATGGGGAAGCAGAGAGCTGGAAGTCTCGAGACCGACGACGCCGGCGGCTCTTGGTTTCTTCCAGGGCGTGGGCAAGGACGGAAAACCCCTGAACGCGGATGCGGATGCGGATGCGGATAGGGGGCCACGCAGACGTGAATGGGATGAACGTGATCAACGCGTGGGTGGTTAACATGTAGGTCAACTACTACTTTGCTATCTATGATCATCGTGGTTGTACGATATCCTGTCGCCCTGACCATAGGACGGCTAGAGTAACGATGGCAATTGGATGAGTAGGAGTAGGGACGATGGCTAGCAATGAGGATGCTCGTAGCGAAGATGGCGAGCAGTGAGTCCCGTAATCTACAGCAGACCAGCTACCTAGTCTAGTCGACTCTATTCCAGCCACCTTGTCTAGTCGACTCTATTCCAGTCCAGCAAATCCAGCCAGCTTCCTCAGCGCCTCCTCCCCTTGGACCCTCATGCCCACCCACTCGTCCATCTTACGCGCGCCGATGACATCCTCGTAGAAGCGGATGCTCGGCTCATTCCACTTGAGCACGCTCCACTCGAGCCGGCCGCCACCCGTCGCATCCACCTCCCGCGCCAGCTCCGCCAGCAGCCGCCGCCCGTACCCCTTCCCCCGCTCGCTCGCCCGCACGTACAGGTCCTCCAGGTAGATGCCGTGCCGCGCCCGCCACGTGCTGTAGTTATAGAAGTACAGCGCCAGGCCGGCCGGTTGTCCCTGTTCGTTGAAGAGCAGCAAGCACCGCGCTGGTCGGGTGGGCGAGATCGAGTTCGAGTTCGCGGTCGAGTCGGGAGTAGGGGTGATGTTTTCTACACCTTCAGGTGGCGGCGCAAATGCTATCGTATTCGAGAGAGATTCGACTGTGGCCTCGACTGCGTCCAGCTCGTGCTCGTAGTCGGCCAGTTCGCGGATCAGCTCTAGGATGGTCGGGACATCTGTTGTCATGAAACGTAGGGATGTCTGTCATGTTAGCCTTTGCATTGTCGTTGTAGGTAGCAGATAGGTTGCCATATATCAATCAGAGTTTAGAAGAGGTCTAGACTACACCACTTCAGCAAAGAGAACGGGTGCCCTAGCTTGGCATATGACTTGCCTTCACGACGAGCATGCCGAACTGTGCAAGGTGCTGGTGGCATTTTTTTCAAACGGGGGAAATAAGGTGATAAGTGGTCTAAGTCGTAGGGTAGTGTGTTGTCTATCGTGACAACGAGGCCAACGGCTCCAGGTTACGATGTATGCATTCACAATATATATTGCCTACTTCAGTAGCCTAGGTACTCCGGTACCCTTCAAGTCAAGCTGATGTCGAGGCGCAGGGCGAGCCCTATAGCACAATCAGCTGCGAGTTCGGGTATCGCGGGGTCGGGGTCGGGGTTAATGGGGTTACGTTATAAGATCGAGGATACGGGATAGATCAAAGCTTAAGCGGTGCAATAATGCTATACAGTGTACATGACAGACTGGATAGGGAAAAGAATAAGACGTCAATAATGCATCATGCATCACATATCACACATCTCACATCGGTCAGAGTACAGTTATACTTCCAGGTTCACAGCTAGATCGCAACGGAACCATCATCATCCATGGATGCAAACAGAAGGGTACGGGCAAAGCGTCCAGCCGACTTCGCCTCTTTTAGAGGACTTACATACCTACCTACTTAAGTAATACCGGTAGTATCCTGCAAAGGGCAGCGACCCCTCCTTCCATCGACCCTTCTGTCCCTTCCAAGGTCCGAGGGGAAGTCCCCGACATCCCGTCAACACTACAAAAATGAAATGAATGAGAAGATCAAAAAAAGGAAAGCACATGCTGTGCTAGGCCCGGCCCGGGATCGAACCGGGGTTTCGGGAAGATTCTTATGAAGAGATCAAGGTGATTTCTATTTCAGAATCCCACGTCCTGACCACTAGACTACCAGGCCTGCTCCTGTTGGATGCGCTGTGCTCCAAGTTCGTTGAAAAAAAGTTTTCACATTGCGCATTATATTGCCGGACTCAAGCTGTGCCCCCTTTTAGGCTTAGCCGACGGTTAATATCGGGATTTCGGTCAACTACCTCCACCTAACTCTCCATAGTAAGCTGCCTAAGTAGGTAGGCGAGGCCCTTTGTTACTCGTATGCTTTTCGGCTTTATGCTCTTATGCTCATATGCTCTTATGTTCTTATTCTGCATACTCGTATCACCATAAAGAGTTAACATCAACCACGTCGACAGAGATTAAGGGAAGAGAGAAGTATTCAAAGCGGAAATCCATCGTTACGGCGGGCTAGGCGGGGTATCACTAGAGTCTATCACTGCCTACCCAGGTAATTCTACCATACTACTAAGTACTTAGGTACTCAGTCTAATGGTGATTATATCGTACAGTCAAGGACAGAAAGCACAGGAATGAAAAGAACACCCATCTGCAAGAACATTCATCTGCAGGAACACAACCTGCTCCCAAACTCCTCTATCCATTGTTCATTATTTCAACCCCGCCAACCTCCTCAGGGCCGGATTTTCCAGGATGGGGAACTCCCCCAGCATCTCGACATCTTTGCTGGCCGTGAACTGATCGGTGTGCTTGCCCATAGCCAGCTCCGTCAGCACGCGGCCGAGCTCCTCCGTGGGACTGTGGAACGACGGCCACCCCCTCTTGAAGAGCGGGTTTAACACGGTCCTGGCCGAGGCTAAGAGAAAAGGGGCCGCGGGCACATAGGGCTTGAGCGCGGCGTGGTCGGCCGGGTCCACGGCGGCCGGTCGAGTCGACATCGCGTGCAGCAGCGGGTTGGCCTTCCGCAGCTCCGCGAGCGCCAGCTCCGTCTCGCCCTTCACCAACGCGTAGGGCTGCGTGAACCGGCCTGGCTTGGTTGTTACGCCGGTGCCCGACACAAAGACAAAGTTGAAAGGTTCGCGTTCGCCGCTGCCATCTGAGGACGACGGGGACGAGGCTAACCCCTGGAAAGCCTGCGCTGCTGCTACGGTGTAGTCCTTGGTGATCTTGATGTATTCCCTAATTAACCCCTAGTTAGCGACGAAGCAGAAAGCTACCCGACCCATCTAGATGGGTAGATATTCCTGCCGAGGCGTCAGGTAGTGGGTGGATGCGCATGTCTAGGGGTGATACGCATGTGAATATGCTGGGGAATGCTTACTCCCTGCCGACCTGATTCTGACTGATCCCGAGAGCCCATACACATCCCTTGGCGCCCTGGAGCTTGGAGAGCAGCTCGGAGTCATACTTCATAAAGTCTTTGTGGATAATGACATTGATGCGCGGATCCTTCAGGTCCTCGGCCATCGGGACGGGCCTCCGGCTGAGAATGGAGATCTTGGTGACATCCTTCATCTTGACCATGACATCTAAAGCCCCGCCGCCTACAAGGCCGGTAGCACCGGTGAGAATGAGATGCATGTTTGAACGGTGGGTATGTGTGTAAGTAATTTTTTGTAGAAGAACACGATGACTAGGTATGATCTTATGAGCTTACGACCTTGAGGAAAGGTCTAGGTCTGGTTATGTAGGTGGAAAATAAGTAGATAGAGGATAGAGCAGGAGGAGACTCGTCCTGGATGTAGATAAAACCAAGCGTGGTTGAAATAGAGACTCTTGTACTTTTAGATAACTTCTAGTTGCGTACGATGAATATGGGTCTGGTCCAATACGGCGCAGTCACGGCATAGTACGGCACAGTCTACATATTTATGTGCTAGGTAATGCCCACCAAGGAGATCCTCACAAAGCCTCATTGCGCAAGAAAGAGCGTCAGCACTGGAGCCTTCTTCAGGCAGCCAGGCAGCCCGTACTTGGAGTCAGCTCAGCTGTGATCATGGATGCTTGCTTAACCTTCAGCTCACTTAGCACCCTAGACTGGCGGTGTATTTGCAGGGTTAAAGCCCGAGAAGAGGAGCTAAAGAGTGCCTTCGTGCATAAACCCCGATACCTCCTATCAACTCCGGCTACCGGTAGCTAACAAGACCGAATAAAATTAATTAAAATGTCATCTGTGCCACTAGGAGGTGGATCGTGGTCGGGAGCTGAAGATTCTACGTACAATGAATAAAGGCCACGAAGCGCGAAATCACATGTCCTCGACTGCTAGTATGCCGTATCGCATTTTCAGTATACGAACAACGCTAAGAGTGAAGATCTGGGGGAACCACCGCAAATCTCCAAGGTTCCTAGAACGTTACTATTATAAGAAGCGAAAAGCGCTCACAACGTAGTACGTAATACGTAGCTGTCATTATACCATATATTTCTACGAAGGATACGGTCGGCCATAGTGATCACTGTTTCAGAACACATTTTAACCCTATAGGTTCACCCCTTCGCGGCTTTAGCCAAATATTATGCAATTAACCGTGCCGCTAGGTATTTAGCCATAACGCTAATTACTTGGCACTTATTAAACCGTAAATATAAGGTTAATGCAGTTATTTATGTAATTACAATTACGTCTCGCTGTATGTATATTTTTTCCCATTTCCAAATAGCGTTTAAGAGGTACGGTAAGTACTTTAGCTAAATATATCGACGGCACAGTACATAATTTCATTACGTAACGCTATTACTCCAGGGCTCCAGCGCTTTAACGCTCCAGCGCTCCAGCGTTTTAACGCTCCAGCGCTGCAACTGCTACAGCGCTGCAATTGTTATAACGCTGCAATTGCTATAACGCTGCTATAGCGCTATAATTGCGTTACAGCTTTATAAAGCTGCAATTACGTTGTTATAGCTTTTAATATAACGGCTTTAAGAAAAATATAATTACGTAAGCAATGCAATTAAGCTGGATAATTATATGCAAATAAGTGATATTATTAAAAAAACTTAATGCATATAATGCAATTAATAGGCTAAATTTGGTTCCGGCCGCTGGGGTATGCCTATTAAAAAAACAGGTCGAAATGTGTTTTGAAACAGTCAACACTGTGGCTACCCATAACGTTTTTCACCCCCTTTCGGGACACACTAGGATCTGGGACGCCCCCATTTCTTATATAGTAATACCAACTTTAAAAATTCATAACTTCACCGATACTGCTCGGAAATACATGCAACTTCATATATAACTTAATTACATAAAGCTTTATATAGGGAAAATTTCCCAAAATTTAATTCGAAGATTTAAGGCAGAAAAGGGCTATATATGGTTATGATAATATCGGTTATGTCGATATATCCTTTTATCCCTCATATGAGAAATGGGGCCGTCCCAGATCCTAGTGTGTCCCGGAAGGGGGTGGAAAACGTTAGAAGGACGGTAGTCAGGTAATAGTCCAGCATCCTGGTTCTTAGCCGCCTGTCCACTGCCTACGTGGTTCATGTACTTAGACGCCGTGTTAAGTTTGTAAACGGCGCGGGATCATCTATGAAGTAACAGGTCATCTCGTTGGTTGCATTCTTCCCGTCCGGACCGTCTCAGCAAGTGCGGATACAGTTGCCTTATAAGTGCGTATATCGAGTATGAATATTGGCGATGAGCTTTCCTTCCACATTGACATCCTCAAGCGAGCATGAGCAAGCATCCAATAGTCTTCTTACATTGTGGCAGTATACGGGTGTACAATAGCTGGCGGATAACGCAATGCTTCCACAGGGATTCCATAAGTCCTCGAAGTCTGGAATATTTAGTTGGACAGCTTTCGAGTGTTTCGTGTAATTCCCAACTACATACCTAGTAATTTGATGCCTTAATTAATGCTGATAATCATGACTGTAATCTTACCATAGCAGATACCCAAGAATACCTAACCTAGTACAAAGTACCTAGGTAGTTAAAAGAGCTTCGTAACCTCTTCATCTCTTTATCTCTTCCTCTGCCAAGATCTGCGTAGGAATAGAACATACATAAGTACGTACGTATACCTATGCCTCTACGGCTATGGGTAGGCGTGTATGTATATACTTAACTGTACAATCTGACAATACATGATTCTTTCAGGTTTAGTTACTGTATGTATTGTACAGTACAATACCTATAGTACCCCTGCGAGTCATTCAGGATGCCCTATCAGATCCGTAGCAGATAACTGAATCCCCGCCCTTTTGAGCAGCATCGTCGTTGATGATACCTATGTAGGAGGTTAGCGATACCTACGCTGCTAGGGTAGCTCATGAATGCTACTTTGGTTGTTGATCCTGCTACCTTTGTGCCGTGCAGCATCATCCTCCTCCTCTTCATCATGGCAGCATGACCAGAAGAACCGCCCCTCATGAGAACTATGATATAGTTATTACCTACCTGAACCTGCCGGATTTGCCTGACTACCAGACTACCGAATTACCGAATTGATTATTCGTGGCCCTCAACCATTAAACCATCACGTGACCAATCCATCCCGCCCTACTCTTCTCCTCCCAGATGGTCTTTACCTACTTACCTAGGTAGGTTGTATGTGGTCTTGGTCTTTACTGTAGGAGGCATGTATGTATGTATGTACCAACCTAGGCGCAGGTAAATGGGAATGCGATCCGGGCCCCGGGGTTAGGTTAGGCTCGTGCGGGGGAAGTCGGGGGGTCGGGGGGTCGGGGGTGACTGTAACAACAACCTTGGAACTCATGGAATGAATGGAACCCCAGAACCCTTGACACCCTGGGACTGGAGTTAACCACCTTAATAAAACCACGTTAAGAACCGCGTTAGTAAGAAGAACCAATAACCGAAGAGTCCCTGTCGCTGTCTCTGTCATCCGGGGTAGACTTAAGACTGACTGGCCTGTAGCATGGGAGACTTCTAGAAATCCAGAAATCCAGGAATCCAGGAATCCAGAAATCCAGAAATCTAGAAATCTAGAAAATAAGGATGGATCGATGAACCGATACGATAGTTGAACTCGTGTCTGTCTGTGCCTGTGCCTGTGCGGTTCTCTGATCAAGAATAGGGGTCGTTCCAATGTGTTTCGAGGTCTCCTGTCTCCTCGTTCAGGTTCTCAG